TTGAAATGCACAATTCATTCTTGAGCCCTCTAGTCTCATTTCCAAAATGATGGTCACTGTCAGTAGTCATTTTCATTTATGTGACTTATAAATATTTGAGAATAACATAAATATCCAGCTGCCAATAAAATCTGACAACTATTCAATAAGTATTTAAAGGTTAAAATTTTCTGAAGACCAGTCAACCTCAAGGTATTTATACTGTCAGTAAATCTCTTTCCTAACCTAATCCAACTTAGCTACTGTGTCCATCTTGTGAGGCATTGTCAGCGTACATTTTATTAGAATCTATGTTGTTCTAATGATACCATGGGTCTTTGGCTTCTTGGTTCTCTCAGAGCGCATGTGGCTACCACCCTACCCCCAAAGAAAAGGATACATTTATTTATCAAATTTCCAAGTATTTTGTTAATTCCTGATATAAAGTTTCCTATTTCCCTTCCCTCGTCATGATTGCTTTTAAATGATCTTTTATGTTTATGTTTTTTCTTAAAGCTTCAAGGATCAAATTTCTTACCCACAAAAATATTTTCTACAGAACACCAAAGTCAATTTAAGAAGAAAAATCTGCTGGATTTTTTTTTTTTTGTCTATTAACAAGATGATTGCTTCATTGCATTTTTGCCTTTATTTATTTTCTTTTGCATTGAGAAAGCATCTCTGCCAGAATCTCTTGTGGGAAATCCATGCAAAATGTAACTTAAAGACTATCTTTGAGATTATAAAAAGTAATTACAACTATGTACACCTCCAGTTTTCCATCTTCACGGTAAACAAAATTATAGTTGAAGGCTTAAAGAACAAAGGAAAAACATTTTGAGACCAAAATTATATTGAGAAATAGACCACATTTCTGTTGTGTATCAACCTAAACTGAACATAAATAATCATAGATCTTCCTTTTAAAAATATTAATATACTTTTCTCATGGTTACAAAAGTGTCACTTTGTCAATGTTTCACCAATCAAATGAAACTCATACACATAAAGATTGATTCATAAATACTTTTACAGATATGGAGAATAATCTAAGAAATATCAGCATTTAGCTTATTTGGCAATTGGAACGAGTGAAGAAATCTTAGGATCCATCTGATTTTGAGTCATAAATCATTGCTAAATTTATATTGTACAAGGCACTGTATTTGCAGTCTAATGACGTTCAAACCAGGGCTTTGCTTCTAGTAGTAAATTTTTGCCTAGCCTATTACTGTACTGTGGTAGTCTGGAGGAAGAGAGGAATTAGGTATCAATCAAGAGCCCCATTGATTTAAGGATGCTTCTGCAGATACCCATAAAGGACCTTGTAGACACATTTATGACCAGGAAAATTTGCATGTGAGCAACTTCTTTATATCTGGTAAAAATTAAGTGAAATGCTATAAACTCATCCATCTGCTATAAAGTAGCAGAAAATTGACTAAAGTGATAGCACCAATTCCAGAAGTTCATTTCGGGTTAATATAGAGGCTACAAGGAGTCACTGGGTGATGCAAATGTCTAAGCACTTTACTACCAGAAAAAGATTAGCAGTTCAAACCCACTGAAAGGCTTCTCTTAAGACAGTGGCCTGTTTTCCAAAGATCAGAGCCTTGAAAACCCTTTGGATCAGTACTACGCTGCATGCATAACATCACTATGAATTGGAACTGACTCTATGGAAATGAACAATAAAATGGTTACTGTTAATATTAGTCTAGGTGGAATCTATCCCTTTTATAATGAAACTGTTTTGTTTTGGTTTGAGTCACAATATTCTTCTGCTTTCCCAACTCTTCCGTAGACACCTCTCTTGGACTGTTTCCTTAAATTTTACCTTTTCTCTGATGACATGAACAATCATTTCTGTCAAGAGGTCACCCTAATGAATATTTCCAATTCTGTCCTCTTTCTCCTGAACTACAACAGTCCCCTGCTGCTCTAACTTTGGATGTTCAGCTTCGATCTCACATCCCACTTCAAGCTACAACTTCACCTACTTTTTTTTTCATTTTAATTTAAATTATGCAACATTCACACTTCTTTGATCTCCAAAACTTCAGATGAATGTCCCATGTATTCCTCGATTTTACCAATAGTTCCCATAGCCATTCCCTAGTAAGAACCTTTGAATTCTTTTTCATAATACACTTTTCAATTCCCTATCCTAGGACAGAGTAGAACTGCCCCCTGTGGATTTCCAAAGATGTAATTCTTTACAGGTAGAAAGCTTCATCTTTCTCCCTTCAAAGTGGCTTGTGGTTTCTAACTGCCGACCTTGCAGTTAGCAGCCCAATATGTAGCCACCAGGGCTCCACTGAGTCTGAATTAACTTGATGGCAGTGAGATTGGGTTTTTTTTTTTTATCCCAGTTCAGACCCTAGTCATTTCTCAGCTACTGTAACGAGCTTCTATTGATTAGATCTCCCATCCCCAGTTTCTTCTCTAGGCCTCCCTGGAGAGCTCCAGGCAATTATTGGCTTGCAGCTGGAGCATAAATTCATGGTCATATATCCATCTTCCCTCTGTCTGTCTTTATGCCTTTCCCCTTAATTTATAAAACTACTACTCATATTGGAGTAGGATAGATCCTACTCCAGTATGAGCTCATATTAATTGATATTATCACGAAAGACCCTATTTCCAAATACATTCACAGGTAATGAGAATTAAAATTTTAGCATAGCTTTTGGTGGGAGGCAGTTCATTTCACAACATTGCTCTATGATTTTTTTTTTTTATGATCCAAGTGAGTTTTTTTTAAATCTTTTTATTGGGGGCTCATACAACTCTTTTTTAAAATCATTTCATTAGGGGCTCAAACAACTCTTACCACAATCCATACATACATCAATTGTGTAAAGCACATTTGTACATTCATTGCCCTCATCATTCTCAAAACATTTACTCTCCACTTAAGCCTCTGGCATCAGCTCCTCATTTTCCCCCTCATGAACCCTTGATAATTTATAAATTATTATTTTGTCATATCTTGCCCTTTCTGATGTCTCCCTTCACCCACTTTTCTGTTGTCTGTCCCCCAGAGAGGAAGTCACATGTAGATCCTTGTAATCGGTTCCCCCTTTCCAACCCACCCTCCCTCTACCCTCCCACTGTCGCCACTCACACCGCTGGTCCTGAAGGGATCATCTGCCCAGGATTCCCTGTGTTTCTGGTTCCTATCTGTACCAGTGTACATCTTCTCGTCTAGCCAGACTTTCAAGGTAGAATTAGGACCATGATAGTGGGCAGGGGTGGTGGGGAGGAAGCATTTAGGCATTTAGGAACTAGAGGAAAGTTGTATTTTTCATCATTGCTACATCACACCCTGACTGGCTCTTCTCCCCGATATCCTTCTGTAAGGGGATGGCCAGTGGCCTACAAATGAGCTTTGGGTCTCCACTGCACACTCTCTCCCTCATTCACTATGATAAGATTTTTTGTTCTGATGATGCCTGATATCTGATCCCTCTGACACCTCGTGATCACACAGGCTGGTGTGCTTCTTCCATGTGGGCTTTGTTGCTTCTGAGCTAGATGGCCACTTATTTACCTTCAAGCCTTTAAGGTCCCAGACACTATATCTTTTGATAGCCGGGCACCACCAGCTTTCTTCATGATTATTATTTTTAATTTCCCACTGCAAAAGATTTACTTTCAAAGATCTAGTATAATGGAAATGTTGACTTCTTACCTGTGTTAACAGGTAAGATTCAGTAAACAATCTCGAGTTGCCTTGACAAGTTATAATCATAGAACAACTTGTAAATGACTTCGGCTTATCAGACTACTACAATGAACACATACCATAGATCTCAGAAAGTGAACTCTAGTAGTACTCTTAAAGTTAAAAGGAGTGTCCTAAAGCCAACTAGAGCAAGCACCAATTCTGTCCCTCCACCTTAAAGGTTTTAAATTTCATGCTCAATGTAAAATTCATTTATTCTGAAATTTGTCAGTATTTTAATTGAACTTGATCTCAAAGTTGAGTAATGCATGTATGATCACTCAAGGAAGCAGAATACAGAGCTGAAGATATTGGCACTGATAGGCTAATGATATTGCCAGTCTTTAGAATTGAGGTGGATTGTACATCCTGATATCATAGTATTAAGAGAATGCTGCAATTGAGAGACACACAAGAGGATTAGATGATTTCTTTTGCTTAGGGGAAAAAGGAGAAAATAGGCATGTTTAAATGAACAGATCAAGGAAAATTATGGATTGGAACCCTCAAATATTTGAAGAGTTCTCATGTAAAAGGGGAGAAGGTTGGGGAATGGAATCTGATTTTAGCACTTTATTTCTTTCATTTACAATCCAATTTTAAATGTTAACTCTTTAAAATTTTTTGATCAGATAGATTATTATAATGAAAAATAATTTGGCGCTATTTTAGGTATAAAACAAGTGGTGAACAGTTAAATAATATATTTTTCTAGAATAATTCCATTGACTAATGTTCTCAATGTCAACATCCGAGAACTGGCTCCTAATAAAAATAATAATAATACTTGTAATTTAGCTTTATTTTCTCCTCTTTAGAATTTAGAAACCAGCAGCGTGCACACATGCTAAAACTCATTCTATCACAATCAAAGCAGATGTATTTTTTCACTCTGTCCTTTCAACAGGATAAAAAAAATGACCAAAGGAGGGAATAGGTGAATTTGTGATGATTTAGAGTAAGAGCACACCATCCAAGCATGTAGCTTTTATACACAATCAATAGCGTCTATGATCTGTGCATTAAAAAAGTTAACAATTTGTTGCTCGTTTCATTGATTTTTTTACCTACTATCTTCACTACAACAAAATCCAATGGTGGTCCCTTATACTGCTAATTAGTTCCAGGATATTTGGCCTTATTGAATCTTCATGAAAATTAAGGAAGACTTCTTTGGTCTCCCAGAAATGGAGTATTTGAACTCGTTTATGAAAGAAAGTGAATGTTTTCATGTACTATTGGGGTCTTTTTTTTGTAGTGGCTTCAACTTAACTTTGTGGGGTTTTTTTGACAGATAACAAAGACTATGATGCATATTTATCATACACCAAAGTGGATCCTGACCAGTGGAATCAAGAGACTGGGGAGGAAGAACGTTTTGCCCTGGAAATCCTACCTGATATGCTTGAAAAGCATTATGGGTATAAGCTGTTTATACCAGATAGAGATTTAATACCAACTGGAAGTAAGTTCATGTTTTCATTTGATAGGATGCCTATTCTTGTACGTGTTTGTGTGTAGTCATCAATTTTTAAGTTTTAATTTGTGATTCTTTATTTGTTTAAAATTCTATTAGTTTCTCAAAGAAGAAAACATTGTATGTGTTCATCCAAAATTTAATTTTTGATACCTCTGAGGAACTACTGCCATCAGTCTACACAGTAGCTAAATTTATGAGCTTTGACCCAGAAACTAAGTGAGCGATTTGGAACTTGAGGACAACATTTCTAACTTTGTGAAAGGCAAGGCCCAAACACTGTTCATAGTCCTCATTGACTACATTCATCTCAACACATTACTCACCAAAAACATTTCAACGAATAGGGCCATGTGTTCAATTCACGCATTTTGACAACCCCTTTTCTCTTTTGTAGCCTATATTGAAGATGTGGCAAGATGTGTAGATCAAAGCAAGCGGTTGATTATCGTCATGACCCCAAATTATGTAGTTAGAAGAGGCTGGAGTATCTTTGAACTGGAGACCAGGCTTCGAAACATGCTTGTGACTGGAGAAATCAAAGTGATCCTAATTGAATGCAGTGAACTCCGAGGAATTATGAACTACCAGGAGGTGGAAGCCCTCAAGCACACCATCAAGCTCCTGACGGTGATTAAGTGGCACGGACCAAAATGCAACAAATTGAACTCTAAGTTCTGGAAACGTTTACAGTATGAAATGCCTTTTAAGCGGATAGAGCCCATTACCCATGAGCAGGCTTTAGATGTCAGTGAACAAGGGCCTTTCGGGGAGCTGCAGACTGTCTCGGCCATTTCCATGGCCGCGGCCACCTCCACCGCTCTCGCTACTGCCCATCCAGATCTCCGTTCTACCTTTCACAACACGTACCATTCGCAAATGCGTCAGAAACACTACTACCGAAGCTATGAGTACGACGTACCTCCCACCGGCACCCTGCCTCTGACCTCCATAGGAAATCAGCATACCTACTGCAACATCCCCATGACACTCATCAACGGGCAGCGGCCGCAGACCAAATCCAGTAGGGAGCAGAACCCAGATGAAGCCCACACAAACAGTGCAATCCTGCCGCTGCTGCCAAGGGAGACCAGTATATCCAGCGTGATTTGGTGACAGAAATGCAAGGGACGACGGCTACGTCCCTTGGCACTTGAGTGAAGTCCGCAGTCCAGTGCCTGGAACTAAATCCTCGACTGCTGCTGTTAAAAACAAACAAACAAACAAAACAGAACAAACAAGAACATGCATTACAATCTTTAGAACACGAGGAAAAACAGGGTCTTGTATATATGTTTTTTGCAATTTCTTTGTAGCATCAGTGTCTTCCCGTTTTACCATGTCTCTTACCACTACATTTTTTGACTTTGTTTTATATATCATTGGAATTTGTATATTTACATTTTTTTAAAGAAGAGACTGATGTATAGATAGAAAACTCTTTTTTGCTTCATTAGTTTAGTTTTAGAAATGGGTTTTTATTTTCCCTTCTTGATTTGCTTTGGCTTTTAACATTTCCTTGGGGTGCTTGGACAAATCTATCCGATGGAACAAGGAGCACCGTATCCTCTCTCGGGTTCTGCCTCGGATCAGCAGGACCACATCCGCCTTCAGCGAGCAGTGCCAACGCCAGCATTGCCATTTGGGGAGGGGGGGGAACACCAACCAACCAACAAAAAAAGATGAGAAGAACCTTGTTCATTGGAGGGCCGCACCAATCAGAGCCCCAGATCTCTTCCTTGCCCCGCCTCTACCCTTCTAATAGCGGCATGATGTGTAAACTTTGTGGAGGGGTGGGGGTGAGTCTAGCTGTCTTAACATTTAATTCACTGCTCGTCAGAATACACTCCAGACCCAAAGGTGTGCTAGTCACTTGACAGGGACCACTACAGAGTGCTAAGAAGCAAAGATCGAGAGCATGAAAATGGGGGGAGAGAGTGTTGTTTCCGTTTTTAAAATGAGTTGATGTACCCTTATATATATATACATATATATATGGAAAAAATGCAACAAAACATAACAAAAAAAACACAAAAAAGGAAAAATAAGAAAAAGAAAAAAAAAAGCAACAACAACAACAACAAAATCAAGCCCTATATTTGATCACTTCCTGGAAAGGCATGAATGTGTTTGTGGCTGTTTTTGTTTAATATTCTACTTCCTCTTTTCCCTCTATAATTTTTCTGCAAATGAGATTATGTGCAAATGCCAGGCAAGTTAACTCAAAAGGGTGAATCAACAGCAAGTCAAAATGAAGGCTTCCAAACCAAAGGGAAGGATAGGATGTGTAATGAAATATGTTGTGTCACCTTGTATTATACAAAATGTTATTTTCTAATGAGTCAGAGAAAATCTGTGAAACTTCTTTTGGAGTCTCGTTGTATTTAAATGTTAATTCGCTGTATTTAATTGTCAAAGCTACATTGAGAATCAAGTCTTTGATTTCAGTTTGTGAAAAGAAGCAACAAGTGTTAATACTAAGGTGTTTAAAAACTCAGGAGGTCAGACATATGAATACCAAGAAAAATCAGTATTTTCAAAATAAACAATATTTACTTACAATAACTTTTTTAATTAGACCAGAAAAAATCTTTAAAACAATTAACTTTAGTATATAAATAATTCATTTTATTTTAGCAATATCATTCTATCTTGCTGAAACAAAGCTGATGCTCCCAGCAAATTCATCTCAAACCATCTAGCTCTTTCGAAATCAGTAACATAAGCAGCTAATTCATATTCACGAGGATGATGCTAAGTCAATCATAAATTAGCCTGCAGAGGGCAGAGTTTCTAAAAGGAAAGATTACCTTATGTAGCCTCTAGTTTAAAAAAATGTGATAAAAACACTGGTGATAGAGCTTATACATTAGTAATTCATTGTAGGAATTTCCATCTCAGTCATTGTCCATTGGCTCGTGTAGTGACTCCGGTATGCTTGGTTTATTCCTTCCACCATATAATGAGAAACCAATTCTACATTTCCGGTCACAATAGTAAGATGTGAGTTGGCCACCAAAAGAAAACTGTAAATACAATGGATCTTGTCAAGGAGGGTGAGGTTGAACTGAAACTGTTTGAGAAATGAGTGTGAGCATTTTGTAAACAGTACAAAGATCTCAGGATCCGTGTGACAAGGTGAAGGAGCTTTGGGATGTGCATTGATTTTTATTTGCTTCAACAATGTTGATTTCCCTGACAACTCGCCTGGGTCCTTCTCTACAATCTGTTGTTGATGTGTGTGCTCCCCTGGACCTATGTCACCTTTTTACACACCAGAACTGATGCTGCAAGGACACATACAACTTTAAGGTCAGCTTTGCACATGGGGTTATTATCAGAATCCAGGAAGGCCATTTTTTACTTTATACTATGGACATTTGTCAGGGACTGGTGGCAGTGAACTGCAGTGGACTGGATTCCTAACTCCCACCCCACCGCCAGCCCCACCCCACCAGTGCTCAGAAAACTGTAAACATGGCAATGGCCTGGTCTCTTTCTTTGTTGTTTTTGTTTTTTAAGGGTTTTTGTTAGTGCACGATGGAAGTGTGGAATAAATGTAGAGGAAGTAATCAGACCACAGTCATATTTTTGGTATTCATAGGTGTTTATTTAGCATTGGGAGTATGTTTTTTGTTCTACTTTTAGTGTAGATTTAAGCACTTTGAATAGCATGATTCAGCAATTGATGGGTAATAGTTGATATTCTCACAACTTAAGAAACGTTTTTGTTTCCTCTAATACTTTGTCATATTTTTTCTGAAATGAATTAAATGGAAAAGAAGATATCGATAGCTTCAGAAACCTTCCTCCCAAATATTCCTCTATCAGCTCCTTGTGAGAACAAATGAAAGAAACTGTCATGTGTTCACGTGCTCTCTGTTTAACAAAAGTTCTGTTAGAACTTACAATAAAAAGAGAAAAATATATATTTCCCTAGTGCTTAGGCTTCAGCCTTCTCTTCTTTTGGTGGGAACCATGGGGACATGAATATTCTAGTAGTAAAAACACAGTGGGAAGTGTGAATATGGTAGGCAAACTTGGGGAGAGGAGAGGATTCAGAAGTTGGACATGTTTGATGGATATTTTGGGTTATGCCTGATTTTCATCAATTGCCATGTGGGCCCCGAGTAACACATTATGGATTCAAAAGTCCTTCTGGTTCTTTAATAATACCTCTACTTGCTGCCTATGAGCATTCTATCCTTTATTCTGGTGCTCAACTTTTTGATTAAGTAATATTCAATTCCTTGGGTCTCCCATGTGCAGAAAAGAAAACTGTATCTCATGAAAGCTATCCGACTTAAGTAAGATTAATGCTATGAAATAAATTCAAGAGGTGATGAGAGAAGAGCCCTGAACCTATTATATTTCTATAACTAAAAACCAGATTGTTCACACTTTCAACCATTCTGTGATTATTACTTTCTTCATCATATATGTATTTGGGCCCTGTTGACTTAATCGTAAATACATAGGTGACGGCCTTTTCCTTATTTCATTGTTATTTAGCATTTTATAACAAAGGTAATATTAACTGAGAGCCAATCCCCACATTCTAAGTAAGTACATTTTGATCATCCTAGAATAATCGTTAACGTTTACAGATGCCATTTATGTAAATTAAGGTTACCATTTCTAGGAAAACATTAATTCATATGTTTGTAAATGATTGTTATTACCCTAGTTCTCCTCCTAAGAAATACTTTTTTTAATTGTGTCCTTAATTTCTTTTTTAATTTAAATTTATATCATTTGTCCCAGGAGCAAGTTTACTTAGATTTAAAGGAGAGCATACATAGTTTGCAAGTAAAATTACTTAACTGGATCACAGAACAGTACAGAGGGGAAAATTCCTTTATTGTCTCTGGCCCAAACATCACAGTATTGATGTTACTGATTAATAGAGTTGAAATATTACTACTGGATTTGGAATCCCAACTGAACTCCCTTATTCCCTATGGGTCAAAAGTTTTAAAAATCAATACATAGATATATTTTAAAGAGATGGTGATGCACCTATGTTCCCTAAAAGGAGGAGCTTGCCAATGAAAGCAAAATTTATTCCTTGACTTATCATGAAGCCCTCCCATTTTAATATTCCCCAAATAGTGACCACAGTAAAGTTTTGATGATCTGTTGGAATGGACCTTAAGTTTGGTTTTGAGTATACTTTGTATTGATGAGCAGATTAAAGGAAATAATGAAACATTGAAATTCTAGACAAAGTTGTGCATCTGTACAAAACTATTTTCCTGGAAGTAAGTCTCAAAGATTTCTATCATCTAAAAAGTTATCAATGTCTGAATTTAAAGAGATATTATCAGAAACTGACACTAAGATAAACGCACATGTCTTGCAGGCATGAAAAAAAAATGAATGGGTAATTGTAATCCTTCGGAACCACAGAACTAATGATCTTTCAGCATTACCTAACTTTGTGGGAGACCTGATTGGTGCTAAGGAAAAATTGTGTATAGTTACAAATGATTCATGCCCAGATAAATGATCACTGGTTACTATAACTATGATAGTTTGCTCACTTCTTTATCTACTTAAGAGAGAGTTTGTGGGGAATGCTAACTCATGTAATTTGGCATTAAACATTTTTTATGATTTTTGTTTATTCCTGTTCCCTAAATGAAATCAAAGAATTCACACAGTACATGAAAAAAGGGAAAAGTAACCAATTTGACCTGTTTTTCTAAAAGGTCCCCCTTTTCTTACACCAAGATTTAGAATTAGTTAGATACATTATTTTTAGCAATTAGGTTTTTGCTAGTTTCAAAATTCATGAGTGACCTTAGGGAAATTTATAGAAAAAAATGGAGTGGGGTGGTGGTTAAGGCTTTAGTTTTACCTTTGATTGATATCAAGAAGAAAGTTTTTGCTGTTATTAAGTTGAAATAGAGTCTCAAGGAGACATCAGTCTTACTAAAGCTGAGTAAAAGTAAGGGAAAGGTGACGGTGATGATGACGAAATAATCCTAATCTGATTTGCTTTGTCATCATCCAATTTCAATCAGATTGATAGAAAATATTGAGACTACAAAAGAAGGAAATTGTCTCTAATATTTTCCTTTGAGCCTTTCCCTGTCAGGCTCAGAACATAAAATATCTTTCCATTAAAGACACGTGATATTAATTTGTTTTGCTTTTGTCCTTTAGTAAATTTTCTGAAGTTGATGGTCTCTGGGTCCATTGACAAAGACATGATTCTGAATTTTCCATTAAAGTAACAAGGAAAAGACATTTTAAAAGGGTCCAATTCTTGTTCTTTTTTTTCTTTTAGGGTCCATTTCTTTTTATATCATTCCCTCATTAATGGATTCTCCAGGGTCCACATGCCTACAAATTGTCTTTTTGATAACATAGAAAGGCATTCGCTCTAAAAAATAAAACAATAATAATCTTTATGCTGTGTTCCCTCCACTGTTGGAGAGATATAACTTGAAAAACCGCACATGAATTTAAATGGATTCTATGTAATATGGTTGCCTTGTAAATTTTGATCATCATACTACAGATAACCTTATGTAGCAAAGATTTCTTAAGGAGAAGATTTAATGTGAAATGACATACTACGTAGCCCAAGAATATGTGGCTAAGTAATTTGGATCCACTTTTATTAGTCAATGAGAGATTGAGTTTGAGCCGATCAGATACAGTTTAGGGCAAACTCAAACTGCAAGGAAGAAATCTTTGGGTTAGGATAAACAGCAGCTCTCCATATTCCTGGCAGTATATGTTCCTGGTAACTATAATCCTTAGTGTATTCGTTACACCTAAGTAGTGGAGATTTGTTCTTATAAACCACTATTTAATTACAAAATGCTTTTTCTTTGCATTTTCTGGGTTGGAAGGAACCCAAATAGGAAAGTGAACTCTGTCATTTTCCTCTCCTGGTGTTCAAGTCCAGTCTTCAACTCAGACACTCAGATTTGTTCAACAGTCCATAAACA